TCATAAAGCCTGCCATTTGAAATAAATAAATAAATTTTGGTATTATCTGGATTAATTTTCCAATTTTGAAAAGAATTTTTCCATTTAAGAGACTTAAACGTTGCAAATTAATTAATTCTTTTCAAGTGGCAGGCGTTTTCGGGCTTCGTAGAGTGGAGGAGGAACATCAAAGTGAAAAAATACGAGAGGTGGTGGGGAGGGGGGCGGGAAAGAAAAGTGATTTACAGATGAAAAAGAGGCAGACAGGCACAAAGGTAGAAAAAGGTGAGTTGAGTACTCTGGAAGTGGTCGAATATGACATACAGCGGAGTAATTGTAGTTTGAAGTGAGAAGTCAACTTTCGGTAATTCTATGGCACACCCCGCATGTTGTCGATTAATTTTGTTTTTATACTGTAGGCGTGTAGTACGCCCATGCCATTTCACATTTACACACATTCCTACAGTTTTCATATGAAAACACAAACAAATTAGAATGTTCAATTAAATCTTAATAACTTGAGGTGGTAAAGGAAAATAACTCTGTCTCCAGTAAGGAGAAATGCGATTTGACACGTAGACAATAGAACTATTTATGCCAAAAAATGCTTGAAAATGCGATTAATCAAAACAGTGACCTTGAATGAGATGGAAAAATAAGGAGGGGATAAATGGAATATGAAATGGAAAGGCCAACGTACTTGGTGGGGTGGAAGGAGGGGTCTTATGGCAAAATCATTTAGTCCTATGCCATTTCTATATTTGCAGGTCTATGGTGAAATTGAGTGCATATTTGTTGTAAAATTTGTTTAGTTTTGTGAAAAGGAGGCAAGATTGATAGACTTATCACCTATTCATGAACACGGAATTGCCCATAATTCACACTCGCGGAATAATCTTTTTCCCAGTCACTAGAGAATGATTTAATGCGCCACGAAGTAAAAAGCCGACTTACATTAGAGCTGTCGCCGAACGAGATCTCTAGCTTTGGTCAACCTAAAATTATTAAATAGAAATTATAATTGATGGACTTTTTTTAAGGTCATTGGGAGGGCAAAATCAAAGACACAATTTTACGATTGACAGGAAATTACCCAAAGTGCTAAGTGTCTTTTCGTATAAATTTTAACATACACACACTTTTGATTGCCACTGGAAATGAAAAAAGTATTAGAACATTTTATTAAAATCTGACTAAATCTGCCATCGTTCTGTTGTTTAATAATTGTTCAATTCTTGTGCATTAATTGCTAAATTTTGGAAGATCAAATGAACACTACATGCCAATCTTTTGGCTCTGAGTATCTAAAGTGTTCTCCATTTAATTGCTGTTTCTATTTGATTTAAGAGGTTTGCTCAGTCATGACTTAAAATAATAAATAAGGATATTCTATACATTCACATTATACCTAATGATTTTTACAATTTTTTAGGGGTATAGGAAGTTGTTGGCATTGCGGAAACGATGACCTTAAAATGACAATACCTGAAAGTGCATATTAAAATTTTGGGTGCGTGAGAGACTTACCTCCACGTGGTGCACCCTGGGCAACGTATCTTCGTACGGAAAAAGTCTATCACTCGCGTTTTGACTTATACTTATTATGATTAGCTTGAAAAAAGGCTATAAGAAAAATCGCCCTCGTCAGGGCGAATCACAACGTCTTCAGATCCTCCAGTAGAATGCTGGAGGAATGTCTCCGGACAAAAAGATCCAAGTACAGATAATCCTACAAACCTATGATGTAGACATTTTCACAATTATGGAAGATAACATTTCGGATGACAAACTGAAGTACTACCAATTTCCAGGTTACACCCTGTACAATCTACCTAAATACCGGCAAGTTGCAAGTGGAATTCTAACTGGAGTAAAAGAAGGCCTCACCTCACACTACGATCTGATCAAGAGTATGGGCTCGACACAAGACATATGCGAAATGATCAGATTAAATGTTTGGAAATGTTAAAACCACTTCAAGATATATGCAGTCTATAATCCACCCCAGAATTGTCCAAACTTTACTTTCTGAACATCTCACACAAAACTATAGTATTAGGAGACTTCAACACCCATTCCACCAGATGGGGCTACAAGGATTCAAACATTGCTGGAGAGGAAATTGAAGACATGCTAAACAGCAACCCTCTGGAACTTATTTACAGCAATGAGGATCCGGCTACATATTTGCACTACAATGGAACCAGAACAACTCCTGATTTACTCTTGGCTTCAAGCGACATCAGTGAGGATACACGCCGCAAAATAATTGACGATCCTGGTTCTGGTCACAAACCAGTCATTGCTAGTATTACCATCGGCAGCAAATGCATGTCAAGGAAAGTGTCAACTAAGCTATCATGGAACTTCAAGAAAGCTGACTGGTCTAGATTCACTAACCTTTTAGACAATGAACTTCACACAAGTCCCCTCAACTTCAACCAACATCCTGACAAACTTTGCAANAACGCCCGTTCCACCAGATGGGGCTACAAGGATTCAAATATTGCTGGAGAGGAAATTGAAGACATGCTAAACAGCAACCCTCTGGAACTTATTTACAGCAATGAGGATCCGGCTACATATTTGCACTACAATGGAACCAGAACAACTCCTGATTTACTCTTGGCTTCAAGCGACATCAGTGAGCATACACGCCGCAAAATAATTGACGATCCTGGTTCTGGTCACAAACCAGTCATTGCTAGTATTACCATCGGCAGCAAATGCATGTCAAGGAAAGTGTCAACTAAGCTATCATGGAACTTCAAGAAAGCTGACTGGTCTAGATTCACTAACCTTTTAGACAATGAACTTCACACATACTATGGTAACACGTGAATTAAGCAACCAAAGTAATTAATGTTGTCACTGGGGAAATAGGTCGCCTAATCACGACAAACTATACTAAATATGAAGTGAAATCTATGCACAATAGGACTTACTTGAAAGCGATCTGGGGATAGCAGTGAAGAGATCAGTGCTCTTCATCAGTTCATCAACATCTGGAGCATCGAGATCCAGAGCTGCATCGATGATAGCCATCTTGATAAGTTTTGTTTCCTCCTAAAGGAAAACAATAGTCCGCAGCTTACCATATATGAAAGAGGCGTATAAGCTCGATGAGAGAAAAAAGGATGACACTCGCATTCCGATTAAATCATAGTGAATTTTTATTTTGCACCTGAAGTTCAGACACTGCAAAAGTGTCCTAGAAATGTAATTTTAGCGTTCGAAATTGAAGTCACGAATATCGGGCATTCATTTAATTAGTCAAAATGGTGCTTTCAAGTCAGTCTCAAATAAAGTTCATTCTTCAGTGCCAAATTGTATAGACCACAAACACACCTATTGTTGATTGTGGTGATAATTTCAGCATCACATACATATAAATTTCAAACTCTACTTAGCTAGTTAGTTATGTGATCGTGGTTAATGTAATCGATACGTATATTTAATGACATTCATTTATTTTCTTAAATAAGCAAATAAGCTCTTACTACTAAAAGTAAGTAGCAAGCTAACATCCTAGAAATCTAGATTGGCTGAAAATAAATTTTGATCATTACGATTTTATTTACATTATAAAAAATATTATTAAGTATATATTGTGCATATAATAAAATATATGATATTAAATAGTAGCATATTTTATAATATATCGTAATGTGCGTTTATCTCACACAAACCAATAAGTACACGACCTTGAATCAACCTTTGATTTGGCTAGGTCGGGAAATGCATTTTGTAATTTCATTTAATTAAAACCGCTTATTAAACCTTCCTTTGTTATAACATTTGGAAGGAAATTAAAAAATTTCTTGATGACAGTGAATAATTTTATTCGCAGTCTTTTCAGTATTTAAAGTAAATAAATATAGAAAACATAAAATAGGTTGAATTCTTTTCTCGAGAAAACGCCTCAAAATGATAAGTTATTAGATATTCATTTCAATGCAATCATAGGAGAGCATAATTTGATTAATCAATTATCCTTCGTTGCTGAACGCTTTGGATAAGTACTTTCCGGTAAAATCCTTCCATAATTTGTCTATAGAATCATTACAAAGTTCATCAAATATTTTGAAATCTTATAACATTTACAAAAATAATGCTATTGGTTTTTCAACTAATTAATGAAACTTTTTTGATGCTCAATAAAATTTTAGAATTTGGTATTTCTCTAATATCTATTTTTACTTCTACATTTAATGTTTTTTAATATCCTCAAATAATCAACTTTAATAACTTTATAGTTAATGATGCATTGACTAGCATTGCCTTTTAAGAAAGATATGAAACTTATCACGCACGCCAGGATTCGGAGTGTGCGTCTGAACGTATTGAACACTGCTCAGAGATATTTAGCCATTAATGTTTACTTAAATCATGCTACACTTATTTGATAACTATTCGCTTTTGCAGAGAACATATTTGCAAGAAAACTTAATCTATGCAATACGTCTCTTTCCTCCCTATTGTGGGACACTTCATCAATGACCAAATAGAAATCCTGCTAAAGAATAGTACTCAGAAATATTTAGCTATTAAAGTTCACTCGAATTATGCTAGAGTTATCTGATAACTAATCGCTTTGCCCTTAACCACACTTCGCTATCAATATATGAACCGAATAAACGTATTCCGTGCTTCACTTCTGTTTCCCTTATAGCTGGGTTATAGCATAGCTTGTTCTGGGAGTCTAGCTAGACATTAGAGAATCTGCCATAGAGATTTCTGAGTCGGTCAGGCTTTACTTAGGGAGCAATCCGCTACAAGTCTACAAAACAATATACATAACTTGATCCGCTATACTATCTTCGCCACAGCTTAGCTACTTCACGGAGTCTAGCCTGATAAAAGATTTCCTAGCCGGTAAAGGCTTTACTAGTA